TGATAATATAGTAATAATAATAAGAGGCAATAAACTTTACTTTTATTTATTTACTCAAGAAATTAATTGTGAGTGTTAAGTGAACGCTGGTGGAGGGTGAAGTGAACGCAGTCCCCACTGTTATTAGGAAACTCCCCTAACGTTCACTTGACAAAACCCTCTCTCTGTGAACGCACTGTGGGTAGGATTAGAACCCTCTCCATGTGAACGCACTGTGGGTAGGATTAGAACCCTCTCCATGTGAACGCACTGTGGGTAGGATTAGAACCCTCTCCATGTGAACGCACCGTGGGTAGGATTAGAACCCTCTCCATGTGAACGCACCGTGGGTAGGATTAGAACCCTCTCCATGTGAACGCACTGTGGGTAGGATTAGAACCCTCTCCATGTGAACGCACCGTGGGTAGGATTAGAACCCTCTCCATGTGAACGCACCGTGGGTAGGATTAGAACCCTCTCCATGTGAACGCACCGTGGGTTGGATTAGAACCCTCTTCATGTAGGAACGCACTGTGGGTAGGATTGGGCCCTCTCCATGTAGACGCACTGTGGGTTGGATTAGAACCCTCTCCATGTGTGAACGCACTGTGGGTAAGGATTAGAACCCTCTCCATGTAGACGCACTGTGGGTAGGATTAGGGCATGTGAGAACGCACTGTGGGTAGAGTTTGAGAACCCTCTCCATGTGAACGCACCGTGAATGAACCCGCCACCTTTTTTCTTGTCATTAAACTCTGCTGTGAAATGTAAACTCATTGTAAATGAATTAAATGATAGAGTGAAAAACCTCCTTCCCCCCCTCCCTCCCCGTCCCCCCTCCCTACTCCCGTCCCCTCCCTACTCCCCGTCCCCCCTCCATACCCCTCCGCCCCCCTACCTACTCCCTGTCCCTACCCTTTCCCCCCACCCCATCTCCTTCCACCTCCCCACCTCTTCCCCACCACTCTTCCCCTCCCCACCACCATCTCATCCTCCCCACACCCACCTTAAAATCAACACCCCCTCTGGCGATTACACACTTGATGTAGGGAGGAAGAGTCATTATATAGAGGTTGTGGGAGGAAAGTCATTATATAGAGGTTGTGGGGAGGAGAGAGTCATTATATAGAGGTTGTGGGAGAGAGTCATTGTTATACAGGTGGTGGGAGGAGAGTCATTATATATAAAGGTTGTAGGAGGAGAGTCATTATAGGTTGTGGGAGGAGAGTCTCATTATATATAGAGGTTGTGGGGAGGAGAGTGTTATATAGGGTTGTGGGGAGGAGAGTCATTATATAGAGGTTGTGGGGAGGAGAGTCATTATATGGTGGTGGGAGGAGAGTCAATTATATAGAGGTTGTGGGAGGAGAGTCATTATATATAGAGGTTGTAAGGGGAGAGAGTCATTATATAGAGGTTGTGGGGAGGAGAGTCATTATATAGAGATGGGGAGGAGTCATTATATAGAGATGGGGAGGAGAGTCATTATATAGAGGTTGTGGGGAGGAGAGTCATTATATAGAGGCAGCTAACATGACTCCTTAACCTAATGAATGTTGACATGAAGAGGAAGAGGAAAAACATGAAGTAGAAGTGATCATTGAAATGGTATTGTGTTGTGAAAAATACCTCATGTCTATTACACCTGATATGACTATATTATAAGGCAGAGGATGACATGAGACGTGTATGACTATTATGAGGAAATGACATGAGGGTGATTTGTTCCTGGTTATCTCTGCTGGTTGGTTTGTTATATAAGTTTCATTCAATTTATTTATTTTTTATGTGCGATAGATTTGGGTGTGTGTGTACGACGTGTGGGTGTGTGTGTGTGTGTGTGTGTGTGTGTGTGTGTGTGTGTGTGTGACGTGTGGGTGTGTATGTGTGTGTGGAAGCTGTCATTCATCTCGTCGCTTCACCAACAACTCTGAGGTTTATTGATCAGTCGCATTGACGGTGTAAGATAAGGAGGGTACACAGCTGCCCCCACCAGAGGGACGTGATCATGTGGAACACGCCCAAGCAATCCATTGTCCCGCGCTGGGGTAGACACATGTACTACAGCACCATATACTGGGGAGCGCTTTACTTTTTCCCTTTTTTATGGGGGGCAGAGGGGGGGGGTCCTACATGATGGATGGGTGAGGATAATGGAGGAGCCAGTGAGTAAGGTTTCCCTCTCGTGTGAGTAAGAGTTAGCAAGATAAAGCTGTATTGTGATTCATTGATTAATTGAAGGTAAGTAGAGTAGTGTGTCGTCTTCTGCAGGGTGGTCCTATAAACCCGCACTGGAAAGCCCACTCACTGGTGGAGGAGTTCATGTTTGGCTCAGGTTGCTCCCCCGAGTGTCTACTGCTGTAGCGGGGTATTTGTGAGGGGCAGTGTGGGAAGTGGCAAAGAGGCGAGGTAGGGACCCCCCCCCCCTCACCCCCGCCAGTTTACCAGTAATGAAGGCGCGTACCCTGGTTGGTCCCTGGAGGCAGGCCGCGTGGCCACCCAGGGCGAAGCGGCGGCTTACCTGTTCTTAGCGGCTGCTGCTCTGTCACGCTGCCGACGGTTCTTGAACCAGTTGCCGACCTGTGTGGGGGTGAGACCCGTGGCCGAGGCCAACTCCCTCTTCTTGCTGGGGTTAGGGTAAGGGTCCTGCAGGTATGACTCCCTCAGTAGAGATCTTGTGCGTTCCTTGAAGCAGTGGGTCTTCTGTTCGCCATCCCAGATGGTCCTCGGGAAGGGGAACTTCTTACGGACGCGGTACTTGTCGACGGGCCCAAGCGGGCGGCCGCGGAGACGCTCTGCCTCTTGGTAGTGCGCCTCCAGCCACAGCGCCTGCAGCCGCGCGTGAGAAGGTTTGGAATATCGTTGTGACTCCAAAATAGCGTAGAGCTCGCGGAAGTTTCCCACGTGGAAGGAGACAAGAGCCCGCGCTCGTAGCACCGCCTCGTGCTTGTTGAGGTCGTGAAGGTGAGGGTGAGCCACCGGCAGTGACCACAAGAAGCGTCCAAGGCGCTCCATGTCGCCACTCTCTTCCAAAGTTTCGCAGACGGCGGCCACCTGGGCGGCGGTGAAGGAGAGTGAGGGTAGCGCCACCATGGGTGTGGGCACTACAGGGCTGCTTGATCCCCCAAAACTACCAGTGCCCGTCGCATTGGCACTCAAGGCGTTTAGCGCTGAGAACGCCCCGAAGGAGCCAAAGGAACCAAGGCCACCGAGTCCACTCATGAGCGCCATGTTGGGCTGCAGCGCCCGCAGCAGATCCGCGACGGAGGACGCCAGCTTGGCGGGTTAAACGGCAGGCGAGGACTCCAGCGTGGCGGTCGCTCAGTGCCGCTGGCGGCCCAGGAGGCGGGGCTTAACACTGATCCGCCTCCCATGGTCATAATCACCACTCAACGCAGCGCCACACCCCTAGCCCGGCCCATACAGCGATCCTACCCTCCTATTGGCCACCAGTCCTCCGTCGCCATGACAACGCTGTCAATCATCGACCGGTCTGCCAATCAGTGGCGGGCAGCGGCGGTGGTCGGTGGCGGGTCGCGTTACGGCCGTGTTGATTCGGTAACGGAGCCCGGCCTCTGATAGGCAACTTAGCGCCGCCGCCCGGGCCTCAGTAATGGAATAATGGGGACGTGGCTATCGACCGGGCGCGCCGCTCCCTCACACCCTCGTCAGGATACACCATTACCTCCTCTCAGGCCCCCCGACACACGGCCGCCCTCACCGCCACTCCTCGATACCCGACACCACGCCTACACCCTCACACCACGCCATTATCCTGCCCACACTCACTACTCCCGCGCCATCATCATGAACAGTCAGTCACTGCCTCGCGCCATCACCATGAACAGCCACACTCCCCCGCGCCATTATCATGAATGTTTACACCATGCTCCCTTATAATGAACATTCACGCCCGCGCCTTTATTATAAACATTACTTCACGCCATCATCTTGAACATGTACACCCCTTGCCATTATTATGAAAGTTCAGCCCCGCGCCATTATCACGAGGGCTCACTACCCCATCATTATAATGTTCCGCGCCATTATGACACCTTAACTGGCATTATACAACATTATTATCCTCAGCGTTAACATCTCGCGCCAGTAAAATAGCTCAGTCTCATAATCTGCGCCATCATTACACTCTTAACTATAATACGTGCCATAATACTCTCCAGACTCATACTGAACGCCATTATTATGATCATCTGAACGCAATATGCAGTTATATAAGGCCATTATACTTTTGATATTCACACTACACGCCATTATACCGTTGATATTCACACTACATGCCATTATACCGTTGATATTCACACTACACGCCATTATACCGTTGATATTCACACTACACGCCATTATATCGTTGATATTCACACTACACGCCATTATACCGTTGATATTCACACTACACGCCATTATACCGTTGATATTCACACTACACGCTATTATGCCGTTGATATTCACACTACACGCCATTATGCCGTTGATATTCACACTACACGCCATTATACCGTTGATATTCACACTACACGCCATTATACCGTTGATATTCACACTACACGCCATTATACCGTTGATATTCACACTACACGCCATTATACCGTTGATTCACACTACACGCCATTATACCGTTGATATTCACACTACACGTCATTATACCGTTGATATTCACACTACACGCCATTATACCGTTGATATTCACACTACACGCCATTATACCGTTGATATTCATACTATTAATATCTTAAAAAAATGACAAGAGCTTATTATTATTTTTATTATTATTATTATTATTATTATTATTATTATTATTATTATTATTATTACGTTATCTTATTATCCTTCGTTTATCTTGTCCTTCCTTTTCCTCTTTTTCCATTTCCCTTCAATCCCCCGTTTCTTCCTCTTTCGTTTTGCTCTCCTTTCTCTTCTCTTTCCTTCACCCCCTTTATTTATTTCCTTATATCCCCTCGTTTTTCCTCTCTCTGTCTCTCTCACTCTCTTGATTTCCTTCCATTATATCAATCGTCCCACAACGAAGCAGGAATAAGGTACAAACAACAATACAGTAGAAATAAGAACAAAAACAATATTTCCAGGTGAAAATATTACCTTAGACAATTACTAAAATAAGATGATTCTGGGGTGGCTTTTAATTGTCTGTGATGATGAAGGGAAATATATTGATGGTAATAGTAATGATGATAATAATAATAATAAAAATAATATTGATAGAAATAATAGTATACTACAACAACAACTACTACTACTACTACTACTATTGATAATAATAATAATATAATAATCATAAAAATAATATTGATAAAAATAATAATAATAATGATACTACAACTACTACTTCTACTACTACTATTAATACTATTGATAATAATAATAAAAATAGACAGAAATACAAGTATGATAAAATTATAATCTAAATGATAATAGCAAAACTGTTATTATCAATAATAATAATAATAATAATAATAATAATGATGAGAGTTTCAGAAATGTAATAATAACTATACCTTTAATATCGAAATAATTATCGTAATAAAGAAAAACAAGAATTGCAACAAGAATCTCAATTATCCATCACCATCATACACACTATAAGACCATCAAATATCCATCATCATCATACACACTATAAGACCATCAAATATCCATCATCATCATACACACTATATAAAACTCAATTATATACTTTAAGACTCAATTATCCATCACCATTATCACTATATAAGGCTTAATTATACACTGTAAGACTTAATTATCCATCACCATCATACACACACTATATAAGACTCTCAATTATCCACAATAAGACCCTCAATTATCCATCTCCACCATACACACTATCTATCATTTCATCTGTCCATTTGGCTGACAGTTTTAATCTTTGTGTTGTACGCTGGTCACAGGGTGAGATGATGGGGTTAAACCTCTGATTGTTAGGGATTTTTAAAGAGCTGGCTTAGTGTATATCATTTAGGGGAGGCAGAGATTTCTTTGTATAAAGTCAATGGTTTGTGTCGTAAAGTGTATAAAATGGTTTGTGTCGTTGTGTATAAAGTCAATGGTTTGTGTCGTTGTATAAAGTCAATGGTTTGTGTGTCGTGTTGTGTATAAAATCAATGGTTTGTGTCGTGTTGTGTATAAAGTCAATGTGTGTCAGTCGTGTTGTTGTGTATATTGTCGTGTCGTATAAAGTCAAAGTGGTTTGTGTCGTGTTGTGTATAAAGTCAATGGTTTTGTCGTTGTCTATAAAGTCAGTGGTTTGTGTCGTGTTGTGTATAAAGTCAATGGTTTGTGTCGTGTTGTGTATAAAGTCAATGGTTTGTGTCGTGTGTCTATAAAGTCAATGGTTTGTGTCGTGTTGTGTATAAAGTCAATGGTTTGTGTCGTGTCGTCTATAAAGTCAATGGTTTGTGTCGTGTTGTGTATAAAGTCAATGGTTTGTGTCGTGTCGTCTATAAAGTCAATGGTTTGTGTCGTGTTGTCAATGGTATAAAGTCAATGGTTTGTGTCGTGTCGTCTATAAAGTCAATGGTTTGTGTCGTGTTGTGTATAAAGTCAATGGTTTGTGTCGTGTCGTCTATAAAGTCAATGGTTTGTGTCGTGTTGTAGTCAATCATCCACACCCGTTTGGTACACAATTCCTGCCTCCCTTTTGTGATGTCGAGGATGGGTAGATATTCGACTGGAATTTTTGCCCCGAGTGTTAAGGGTCAGAGAACCAAGGTGGATTTAGTTTCTGTGGTGTGTGTGTGTGTGTGTGTGTGTGTGTGTGTGTGTTTGTTTGTTTAGTCTAGTATACGTATAGCGGTCTAGTTTGTGTGTTTGTTTGTTTGTTTAGCCGACATGTATAGGCTAATGGTCTGTTAAGAAGTTATGTATGTATTGTGTATAATTTATGTATATGTATAATTATGGATATGTATGTCACTTTATCCTAACCTGAATTTTGTGAGAGAAATTAAAGTGTCGTGATTTTTTTTTAAGTAATTTACACATTTTTATCAATTTTCCATAATATTTAGAATTTAGATTTAATTTAAATTACAATTCTCACTTTTCACGATTTTCACAATATACACAATTTTCCTGATTTACACAATTTACAACATTTACACTATTATTTATAAATCTGAAATATATTTTTTTTTTTACAGTTTTCGCTTTTTACGATTCACAATATTTAAAATTTTCTTGATTTACACAATTTACACAGTTTTACACGTTCGGGGTCTTCATGTTATGTGATTTTTGTGTATTAAAGAAAGAATATAACTAATACACGCTAGATACAATATAGACGAGCGTGTATGTGTGTATTCTCCTAAACAAATCATTATTTCTTTGCATATATAGAAAATACCATATTGTCACTTGGTCATTTTTGAAGACGAGGTTACAATCTAAGTGGATGTATTTTTCATTTGACTTTTTTTTTTCTGTATTCAACTGTATTTCTGTATTCAATTGTATATCCTGTATTCATCTGTATTTTATGTATTCAACTTTATTTTTCAGACTAATTGTACCTGAAGTTTGGCGGAGGTGTTGGCTGAAAATGTACTGTACAGGTATGTTCAAAATACCCTCAACACCTGTCGTATTATGAGGAATTTCTGGCTCATTTAAGTAGCTGGTGTATAATTGCTGAGCGCTACTTTTCATTATAAGTGTCCGTCTTGTTGTTAGTGGTTAGTGAAATGTTACTTTTTGCTATACTGTAAGTGTGTCTGTCTGTCTGTAAGTGTGTGTCTGTCTGTAAGTGTGTCTGTCTGTAAGTGTGTGTCTGTCTGTAAGTGTGTCTGTCTGTAAGTCTGTCTGTCTTATTGCTGTTAAATGTTGTTTTTCATTTTAAATCGTCACAGTGAAAATGAAAAAAAAAATTATATAAGAAAAATCAACGATATATTGGAATAAATAGATATAGCGGAGAGAGGAAGGTTTGGTCGGGAGGTTGGTCGGGTGGAGTTGGTCGGGAGTTGGTCGGGTGGAGTTGGTCGGGAGGTTGGTCGGGTGAAGTTGGTCGGGAGGTTGGTCGGGTGGAGTTGGTCGGGAGGTTGGTCGGGCACGTCGGGGGAGGAGATTTTATATCTTTTATGTAGTTAGGTTAGGTTAGGTTATGGCAGGTCGGGTTAGGTCAAGTTAAATGAGGTTAAGGTTAGGTTAGGCAGTTCAGGTCAAATTATTCTAGATTAGATAGATTATATTATACGAGGTCAGGTTAGGTGTGGTTAAGTCCAGTTAGATTAGGTTAGGTTAGG